CAGCAGGGAGTATACAAGATGCTAATTTTGGTATCAAAGAAGACGGTACTATAATGATTGGGTACATATCTGATGATGAAGTATTTAATGAGACTAATCCATTCCGATTCCTATTGACTGGTGTTATATGGTTAGTAAGGAATGGAACTAATAATGTTAATAAGAGTATGTATGTTGAGTGCTCTCGTAACTCTAGAGGTATCAGCATGAATAACTTTGTATGGATCACTTCAGCTCGTGCTGCCATTGGACATGATGATAGAGGGAGAGTAGTACTGGCTCGTGTTGAAGGGAAGTCACTAGTGAGAGGGTAAGAGGATAATAATAATGTACTGATGTACTTATGATGGGTAGAAAGTTTGAGGTGATTCTGACTTCAATTTTTCAAGTTACAGCCATTTAAAGAAATCGGTCAAAATCTGAAAATACACAAGGCTATAGCCCATGGTTTTTTCCAAAAAATGGCTCCAAAATCACTCCACATTTTTATTACATTTTCTGATACATATTGATGTCCTTATGCTGTGCAGAAAGTTTGAGCTGATTCCGACTAAAATTTTTCATGTTACGACCATTTTAAGAATTCGGCCAATTTTTGATAAAATTCCTGTATGGCTCCAAATTGACCCCCAATTTTTATTACATTTTCTGATACATATTGATGTACTTGTGGTGTGTAGAAAGTTTGAGGTGATTCCAACTTCAATTTTTCAAGTTATACAGCCATTTTAAAAAATTGACCAATTTTTGAAAAATACCTAAGGCTATAGCCCATGTTATTCCCAAAAAAATTGCTCTGAAATTAACCCAAATTTTTATTACATTTCCTGATACATTCTTACTTGTTTTTTCCTCTCCATAGTCTAAAGCTGAAGCTGGATTACAGGAGAAGGATAAGGAACTATGTCAGTCTCAAGAGGCAGTTCGTAGGTACCAGCAACAAGCACTTACTGATGATCACTGGGTTATTAATAAAGATGAGGTGACTATGAAGAATTAATATGAGGATTTATATTATTATTATTAATTGTTACTTCACCTCATCTTAATTCTCATTTTCTCTCCTTGAGGTACATATTAGAGGGAGAAATAACTTTGTATATCACATTCAGTTTTTTATCTCCCTTCGACTCATTAGTGTATATCTCTTTAATCTTTTCCCTTTCCTTTTTGTCTACTTCATTCTCTATTACCTCTCTCCTTCTACTCTCTGTTTCTTGTGAAATTAATGTATGTGTGTATTTGTAATGTATTTGCTTGTATGCTCAGCTCTTAGTAAAGAGGCTCTATAGCTGAACAATGATCATACAGTACATACCGTATAGCCAAAAATTTTCGAGGCTTAAAATTTCGTGATTTATGAAAATTATGGGTAAATTTTAAATTCCGTGAAAAATATTTTCATGATTTTTTATTTTAATAATAATTTAACACGCCCATTTTAATTAAAACATGGCGGATGCAACGTTTGAGATGGACTCTTGTGTCAGGGGGCACCACGTCTACAAGACAGTGTGGACACCAGTGATTGGGGAGATTTTAAGCTGTGAAAGGGAAGAGGACAACTTACATGACTTGTTTGCAGTTCGTGTTACAAAACCAGGAGAAACCCAGACAATTGGGCATCTTCCAAGACTGATCAGCTCTACAGCTTCATTGTTTATCCAAAGAGGAGGAACAATTCAATGTACAGTGGCAGGAGGACGAAGATATTCTGTAGATTTAATTCAAGGGGGCCTAGAAGTTCCATGCACACTGAAGTTTGTTAGTCCTAACACAGCTCTTTTGAGCCGTGTAAAAAAATTACTGTTCTATTGCGAGGTTTCAATCACTCAATCTACTGATATTCCACATGAATCCACTAATGATGTTCAAGTGCCAAAGAAAATAAAAATAGAAGATAATGTGAGTACAGCAACTACCAGTACAACCACTGATACACAATGGATACTATTTGAGCATTTTATGCTAATGGAGTCGCATAAATCTACAATCGAGAATGGACACTGGCTTGAAGATGCACATATTAACTTCGCTCAAAAGCTACTAAAGCATCAGTTTCCGAATAGTATTGGGTTGCTATCAACAAATTACCAAAATAAATTTAAGCTCACTATGGCTTTAAACCTTGTTCAGATTTTGCACTGTAGAGGGAATCACTGGGTTGTCA